ATTGACAGCTGCACTATTCCCCCCATGCCGGTGGGGGGGGGGGGGAGTCTGGCCTCTAGCTATTCCCAGCCCCCTCCTCAGGGCTCCTGAAGGAAGCTGAGACGGCCACCCCCAGATGTCTATTCCTGTCCCTGGCCTAGCGCCGTGCTGGGGAAGCAACAGCTATTTTGAGCCCCTTCTCCCTTCAGGCATGAGCGGTGGGAAGGCGCTGGGTACATCCCGAACTGGGAGGCCGCCCATCGCAGCCTCGCTCTGGATCTGGGCCACGCCAGCCCCGTGGCTCTGCCCGTTTTTCCGGTTCTGGTGATGTGGTCAGTTCTGGTCACCACCACCACCACGCTGAGATGACCCAAGGAGAACTGAATCCGAAGGACTTCTGCTGGAGGCTGGAGCACAGGGGAGCTGGGCTTTTGCCCTTTGGGGAGAAAGCTGGAACAGCCACAGCTGGACCCACCAGCTGGGAGAAGGACTTGCTCTGAGCCTGAAATCGGGGAAGACAAGGGTCAGGACGATGCTGTGGATCTTGAGCACTCAGACGGGGACAGGCCCCGTTGTAAGCACTTGACCTGGAGTGAAGTCGTTTCATCCTCGAGGAGACTGAGGCTCACTTAGAGGAAGTGACTTGCCCTAGGTCACGCGCTGGTAAGTAGCTAAATTAGAACTTGAACCCAGGCAAACTGGCTCCACAGTCCCTGCTGTAACCACGTTCCTCTGAACCTTCCCAGCAGGATGATAATATACGTTAGGGGCACGAACACCAGCTTGAGAGCCAGCCCCTCTGTGCCATTCTTGACCTTGTGGCCTGGCTAGACCACCTGAGCAAGCACAGCCTCCTCGCCTGTAAACTGGGAATAATGGTGGCACCCACGTCTAAGACAAAGGCGAGGATTACTAATAAACAGAGTTTGGGGGCCGGGGCTCAGTAACTCCTCCAGACTGTGAAACGAACATACGCACATGGTAAAATAAAATAGTTCAAGAGGGGGCATGGTAAAAATGAGTTCCCCCTCCTATGTCACACCCATATCTCCGCTTACCAGAAGTAACCACCATCAACAGCTTTTGTGCCACCTGTCGAAAATTTCCCAAGCACGTAAGAGCCACAGAAGCTGTACGGGATGCTGGTAAAGGGCATGGACTGCCTGGTCCACATCCTGGCTCTGCAGCTGACGAGCTATGCGAAGCTGCCTTTCGCTCCGGCAGACAATGCTGCCAGACACATCCTGTTCACCTGTCACTTGGCACAAATGCAAGCATCTCTGCGGGACAAATTCCTGGCAGAGAAATTGCTGGGTCAAACAGTAGTACCCTTGTAATTTCAATTAATTTTTGGATGAGCACATTGTCACAGCAGGCAAGGGAAGGGGAAAGAGGTCCGCAGAGCAGGGAGGAGGAGGGAGGAGCGAGATGTGACGTTCTGGCCCTGAGGTCCAGGGAGGGCTGTGTCTGCCCCAGCAACCTGGAGGAGATGGCAGGTCCCCAGGCCCCTGGCCAGGAGATGCAGGGTTTAATTTTAGCCAGATTGTCCCCATAAAGTCTTTACAGGGAACTGGTTGATTGGATTAGAAGAGCAGGAGCCCCTAATGAGCAGCAGCTGCTTAACAAAATGCTACAGCAGACACAATTTCCCTCGGTCACCATCCGCCACGGCAGCATCCAGGATCTGTCAGGGACCCCACAGGTGCCAAAGGCACCTCGGAATGGCACCCCAGTTGGGCTTGCCTCCTCTGAACATCCTTCTAGGTCCCAGACATCCTAGAAGAGGTAGAGAGCATGGAGTTAAGAGCACAGGTTTTGGGGTGAGACAAAAGGTCTTCCGCAGACTGAAAGGACCGTGTGACCTTGGGCAAGTCATTTCCCTCCCTGAGACCTGCCCTCATGGGGTCGATGTGAGGACGGAATGAAGTCAGACACATGAAGTGCTTAGTGTTCACTGCCTGGCACGTAGTAAGAGCCTAACAAATGGTAGCCCGTTAAGATAAAGATGAAGAATAAAGCCAGCTACTCTGGAACCCCCCCCCCCTCCCCTGAAGGCCCTGGAACAAGGTTAACAGGTGTAGCTTACCACCCCTATCTTACCGGAGCATTTTAGTAATTGCCCCAACCACCTCCTTAGGGAATGTTCCAGATTTCCTGGTCTGTGAAATGGGTTGTGTGATTTATGGTTTCAAGTGAGTTTTAAAGGCCTTGCCAGAATTAATCGTCGGTTTCGTGTCTGATCCAAAAGCACAAATTGAGCGTGGGAACCCTCAGATGGGAAGAAGCGGAAGCGTTCAAGGGCGGTTACCTGAGCTCCCCTCCCTCATCTCGCATGTACCTGGTGTGGGACCTTCCTCCGAGTGTCCCAGGAGCAGCGACAGCGAGCAGTATACCCCAGGGATCCAGGCAGCGCCTGACTCGGTTCAGAGCACAGGCTCGGGGTCAGAGAGATCACTACTAGCCTCTTCCTGCGTGAGCTGCTGCCTGTGTGCGTTCTCCTCTCCCAGTCTCAGACCCTTTGCTCACCTGGGAACTGCGGGCAATGAGGGCTCTGCGGCGCGGCGGGGCGAGAATCGAGGGGACTGGCCGCCCGCGGCCGCCCGGCGTGCCGGGAACGCGCACGGCGGGGGCACTCACCGGTCGCCGCCGGGAGGAGGCCGCCGCCCTCCACGCCTCCTGGGCGGATTCCCCCGCGGCCTCCCGCGCGGCGCGGCGGGAAACGGGTGATTGCAAACAGCCGCCGGCCTCATTAGGAGACGTGTAATTAGAGGCTGGCGGAGCCGTAGCCGGCACTGGCTAATTACCGCAGGGAGCCGGCTGCGCCGCCGGCGCCGCCCGCCTCGGCCGCGGGACCCGCGGGGCTAACGCCGGTATCCTGGTCCTCGTGGGGCCGGCAGGAGGCCCAGCTGGGTCAGAGGAGGGGGTTCCAGGACCGCCCGAGTGAGCTCCCTTCCAGGAGCCGGGCCTGGAGGGAGGAGTAGATCATTCACTGGAAACAGAGTTTGAAAAGCACTCACGGACGGGGACAACGCGCGGGGATTACAGGGGAGGCGGGTAGAGGGGTGTATATAAGGTGGACTAATGGTAATGGAAAAATACGATAAAAAATAAAATTTTTAAAAATATATTTTGCAAGCCCTATGCTAGAGAAATAAAATAACAAAACAGAGTTTACTTACTGTGCCAGGCGTTTTGCCCACGTTAACTCGTTTAAATCTTACATCCACCCACGGAGGGCGGAACCATTATTTTCTTACTGCACAGATGAGGAAACTGAGATCTACAGACAAGATTTAATCCCCCCCCCCGACGGCATGTGACCGCATAGTGACGAAGAAGGGATTCGAACCTACGTCTCTCCATTTTACACGAAGTGGGCAAGAGAAGCCTGCACAGGACATCAGCCTGTGGGTAAGAGCAAGGACCCTGGAGACAGATGGCTTTGGGTTAGAATTCTCCTCCTGCATCTTACTGAGTGTGAATTTGATCTGAGCCCCAACTGCTTCCCATAAAATGTTGAGGTGAATGAAGTGAGTTGAAAGCTAGGAAGTATTAGGGGCGTTATTTTAAGGAAGCGAGGGAGAAGGGAGAACTGCGGCCGTCTTTCTCTACGCACTACAGGCCTCCTACGCCCCCTGCTGGTGAAAGGGGGACGCTGGCGAGACTTTACTTTTTTCTTTTCTTTTTTTTTTAAGATAATGAGGTTGTTCTTGAGTGAAAAGAAAAAGCAGACCCTGTTCCCTCAGCAGGGCCACTGCTCTTTTGCTTCCCCTCATGCCCCTCTTCCTTCCTCAGAATCCCTCCTTTAAGGTGGTGAAAGATGAGATGGGGAAACTGAGGACTCATTTCAGATCTTGCAAATAATCAGTTGTGAAACCTGCTTCCCTTTATGGACCTCACAGGGCCAGCCAAGTCCTTGACAATTCCACTAATAGTCAGGCATAGGTATGAAGACCTAGTCACAAGGGTGCGCATCGAAGTGCTGGGTATGACAAGAAAATCTGGAACTAATATAAACATCCATCATGGAAATATTGACCAGTTTAACAGTGGTACATCCAAAGAATACAAACAATACTGTGTAGCTGAGAGATAATGTCGCTGAACGTTTGACATAAAAATAGTCAAACAAGGAGAATTTTACAGACATTATGTTGGTGAAAGGAGACAGCCCCCCCCAACCCCCCCCCCACACACATGCTGTTGGGTATTTACCGAAAGTTCAAGAACAGGTGAAACTGATCTTTCATAATAGAAGTCAGAATAGAGGCTACTTCTGGAAAGAATTTGGACTGGGAAGAAAGCATGGGACCCTTCTTGGTTGCTGGAAATGCTCTCTTAATCTGGGCGGTGGTTACACAAGTCTATACATATGTTAAAATTCATTGAGTTGTACACTTATATGCACTTCACATATGGTATCTCAATAACGTACAGTTTTTCAAACAGCAAAAAAGAGTACTAAATAGTACGATTCTATTCTTAAAAAGAAAAGAAAAGAAAAATATAATAACAGGGCAGCAGTTCTCATCTCAAACTGTTTTCATTGTTTCAGGATCCCTCTGCATTCAGATTATTGAGGATCCCAAAGAGCATTTGTTTTTGTGGGATATATAGACACTTACCATGGATATTAAAACAAATATTTAAAACACAATACACAATTGCATTAGCTGTTAGAGTGATATCAGCGCATGTCATGTACTCTCTGGAAAACTTGACTGTCCAATGTGAGAGAGTAAAAAAGGCTAATAAGATCTTACCGTTGTCATGAAAGTAATTTTGACCTTAGAGTTTTGGAAAACCCCGTGGTCCCTGCATCGCACTTGGAGAACCACTGGCACACGGGAGAAATAATGGGGAAAAATACACCATATGATAAATTATTCTCTCTCAACCAATGATGGGGTTATAATTTATTTTTATTTGCCTCTTTGTGCTTTTTAAAAACTGGAAACTATAACGACCAAAAACAAACAAAAAACCCGAGACAACACTCCCGCCTCCGTAAGATTGCTGAAAAGCCCCAACTGTAGTAACATGCTTGGCTGTATGGGAAAAAGTAAACGGGGCCCTAATCTGAAAGGGTTTGATTTGCATGGGTCAGTCCCTGGCTTGTAAATACAAGAATTCCATCGCCCAGCTTTAGGGAGAGAATACAAGTGCATACATAACTATTGCAATGTTATAGAAAGTAAACCTTCCGAAGGACGCACAAGCAGCAGCTGCATCCTACGCAGTATTGCAAACTCGGGCGTGGAGGAGGAGTACCCAGCACAGTCTCAAGCTGCTCCAACGCTGAGTACCACACAGAGCCAACCAAAGCAGTTTGGAACTCAGCAGTACGCTTGCGCTCTGCCAACGCAAATGGAGGAGGGGCTTGAAGGAGACTGACCCTGGACTCAGCCTCTCAGCATTATGGCTCCGCCTTCCTATCCTGCATCCCTCTCTGAGTGGCTGCAAGACTGCGAAGACTAACCCAGTTGCGCGCAGGAAAGCCAGGGGCGGAAGTCGCCATGGTGCGGTTCAAGCACAGGTAAGCGTACCTCCAGTACCCTTCCTGTCCCGCTGCCCAGGCCCTGCGTTCACCTCCCTCTCGCCCGCCGCAGGTACCTACTCTGCGAAGTGGTGTCTGACGACCCCCGCTGCCGCCTGAGTCTGGATGACCGAGCGCTGTGCGGCCTTGTGCGGGACACGATTGCTCGCCTACACGGGACTTTCGGTGCAGCCGCCTGCTCCATAGGCTTTGCGGGTGCGAGGGTGCTGGGGAGCCGGGACGACCGGGCGGGGGAAGGGAAGCGGGAGGCCTTGGAGAGATTAGGGGCTGGAGGAGGGAGAAAGAAAGGGCTCAAGCGACCCCTGGAGCTGCCAAGCCCCATGAACCATCCCTGTCTGTACGATGTGGTCCTCTTTAGGCGCCTGGGGTCCAGAGCCCAGTTCTGGACAAGTCCAAAGTTAGGCAGAGAGCTAAGAAAGGCAATGGAACTGTGGGTAGGAGTCCCCTGTACCTATTTGACGTGTATATTGGGGATTGAGACTAAATTTAATAGGATGGTCAGAAACAAATGAGGGTAGCAGAGTTACTTTTAAGTTGGGTGACTGGTTATATTCACATGGGAAGAAAAAAAAATACTCAACAGAACCCTGAAAAGCCCTTAATAGAGCCTGTAAAGTACAGAAGACACAATTGTAAAGGGGGAAGAAGAGGGCCCTCCTGAGAGCCATACAAATCTAAATTCACTCCCTTTTACCCACCACGTGCTCCACATGGGATACTGGGGAATTACAGCACTTAGGCACAATTCTATGTCAGTTGCTACAAGAACCTACAGAAGCTAGCCACAGAAGCATTTTTCAGCCAAGGGTTTTTTTCTGAGGAAGATGGATCTCCACCTCCCCACTCTTTGTCTATTGAGCTAACAAATCAGTGAATTAGAACATTTAAAGAAAATCTGAGCCCTGGCTGGTGTGGCTCAGTGGATTGAGCGCCAGCCTGCAAACCAAAGGGCCACCGGTTTGATTCCCAGTCAGGGCACATGGCTGGGTTGCTGGCCAGGTCCCCCACTTGGGTGCAAGCGAGAGGCAACAGACTGATGTTTCTCTCCATCTTTCTCCCTCCCTTCCTCTCTTGAAAAATAAATCTAAAATTCTGAATTCACTCACCAGTTCTGAGCAGTGTGCAAGGCACTGGATATTGTCCAACCCCCTTTCATAAATGGTCTGTCCTAAAATGTTTCCTTCAGGAGTGTTTTTACTGTGTCTCAAGTGCCACTGCCTTGAACAGCCTCTGGCACATAGTAGGCTCTGTTGCCCTAAGATTTTTAACCTGCTTCTGAGAATCTCCAGTTTCCCAAAGTGAATTCTTTTCCTTGCTGTAGTGCGATACCTCAATGCCTACACTGGCGTAGTGCTCCTTCGATGCCGAAAGGACTTCTACCAGCTTGTGTGGTCAGCTCTCCCCTTCATCACACACTTGGAGAACAAAGGACACCGTTACCCGTGTTTTCTCAACACCCTACATGTGGGAGGTAGGCATGCATGCGGTATGGCTGATTTTCAATAGGGAACAGGTTCAGAGCGAACTCGACTGAGGGGTGGGTCTTCCTCTCCTGCCAAGAACAAGCTGTTGACCACAAAGCTTTCCTGTGCCAGGTACAATTAGAACGTGTCAGAAGTTCCTGATTCAGTACAACAGGAGGCAGCTGTTGATCTTGTTGCAGAACTGCACTGATGAAGGTGAGCAACACCAGCCCAGTGTCCACTGAGCAGTGACTGACCTCTGGCTGAGTAAGGGGTCACACTCAAAAATACCTTTCATCCATGCCGTCTGCTTTTCTCCAGGAGAGCGGGAAGCTATCCAGAAGTCTGTCACAAAAAGCTGTTTACTAGACAGAGAATCGGGCGAGGAGGAACTTTCAGACGGTGATGATGAGGTGGCTGAAGCAATGGAGTGAACCTGTGCAGGCTGTGCGGTGCCCAAGCCTCGGGGCCCACTGGTTGGAGCAGGATGTTCTGGGAGGCAGCAGGGTCTTCCACCTTTCTAGGACCTGCGTTCTCCTAACAAAATGGATGCCACTCGAAGTCCTTGACACATCTGATAGATGTTTTGACTTTTGCTTCAGTGTGACCTCTCATCTCAGGCTGGAACACCCTCATCCCCACAGAGTTCCTGAACTGGGATTTTTAAACTGTTTCCTTTTAAGAATGACAAGTTAGCCCTGGATGGTGTGGTTCGGTGGATTGAGCGCCAGCCGGCAAACCAAAAGGTCACCGGTTTGATTCCCAGTCAGGGCACATGCCTGGGTTGTGGACCAGGTCCTTACTGGGGGGCACCAGAGAGGCAACCACACATTGATGTTTCTCTTCCTCCCTCCCTCCCCCTCTGTCTAAATACAAATTCTCTAAAAATGAAAATATATATTAAAAAATAGAATGACAGGTTAAAGTGTTGGGAACCACCGTGCCTGTTTCAGAAGCTGTAACCCCTGCCAAGGCTAAGGCTGAGAGTGACCTTGAACCGTGAGCCACCAAGAAGACAAAAGCTTATCTCCCTGGCAGGAGCATTGCTTCTGCTTCTTTTACTTCATCCATAGCTGGCTCCCAATGCTTGGTCGGTTAGCCAGTGACGGGTAAGATTCCCCAAGGGGAGAACAACCTAAGCCAGGCATGATCATGTGGGAGGCCCCCAAGGAAGGACTCTGGGGGCTACAGCAAAAGGGGGTGGTGGACCCTTGCCCCTCGGCTTTGACATAGCTTGAGTCCTCATTGTCTGGGAGAAAATCTCCTAATCTCTTGGCTGCCTTACTTCCCTTGCTCCACCTAAGCCTGAAACAATGACGGAGGGTGGTGCAGCCCTGTGCTGGAAAGGGCGGTTCCCCGGGCAATCAGGCCTAAGAAAGAACATGTAAAATCCTGTGAAACCTGCTTTGTTTAAAATGCCCTCAATTAAATGATAAGGATCCAAGCAAGAAGTTTGTTCCTCAAAGTTTTACAGCTCTTTAGCTATCTGACCCTGACTCAAAACAGGCCCTCAGAGTTCTGTTATCTATTGTTTGATCCTTACTGCCCAGAAATGATTAATGAGCTTTGCCTGAATTCTTCTGTAAACAAACCCAATAAAAGCCCATTGAAGAACAAGCTCCTGACCCTTCGCCTTTGAGAGATCAGCCACCTTTCCTCCCAAGCAGATCATGTCTTGGTAGACTTGTTCTCATCTGTGGTGAATGGTGGAGCCCCCCGCCCCCATAGCCCAGCCCAGCTCGTGAACCCTTTTTATTCAGACTTGACACTAGCAAAGACATTACTGCGTGAGAGCAGAACTGCTCGAGCTCACAGCAGTTGTTACTTTAACCTATTTGATAAGTAGGTCTAGCTGACCTGAATTGAACTTTAATAAAACAAAAAGCTCACATTGCTTGTGCAGGTAATTTATTTCAATTGTTTGCCTTCACATCCTATTACACCTAGAGGTTACTTTATTAAGCAGCAAAAGAATTCACATCACTCAAATTTAGCTCAAACCAAAGCATAAGACTACTCTAGACAACAGGGAGGCAGTGGGCAAGCCCACTGCTTTCAAACCTGCCCTGCCCTGCCCTGCCCTGCCCTCCCTCCAGGTGTGCTGGACTCCTGCTCCCACAACTCAGGCTACTGTCATTTGAAAGAAGTTTGATTTCAAGGTTGGCAGGTCCCAAGGCTTCCTCAGTGACAGTTACAACCTCCCTTGCCAAACAGTAGCCACATGCAAGAGACAAAACCCTCCATCACACACGCAAGTGCAACCCAGGTCTGGTCCCACATGTCGGATGGAGGACTGCAGTCAGAGCAGGGTGCCCTACATCCATGTTATCCCCATCCCTGTTTATTTAAGAGAACTGAACAGACAGAAAAGATTCAACTATTTTTAAAAGACACACTGCTAGGTGTGCGGAAACCACGACGCCCTGATGTCAGAGCAGAGCAACGCTCCCTAACACTGGCTCGGGCTGCTCCGAGGGATGTTGAAGGGACGCAAGTTCATCTGGCATTGTGAAGAACTAAGTACACATGGGTCAAAAAGACTAACCTGGCAACAAACTAACAACCTTGGCAGGAAGAGATCTCTTGTGAGTGTCAATACTTTATTTTTGGTGTAAAGATGGGAAGCTGGAAAATACACTGTATTTAAAATCTTGGTTCCCCTCATGTTGTGGAAACCCCCTCCCCCCACCCAGAGCTAATCTGTTCAAACTCAAATACTTAAAAATTAGAGCAGCAAAACAAAAGCACAGAAAAAAGAAAACCAAATGGAGAAGGTAGCCTGGGCCAGTAGTGTCACTTGGTGTGGACGACTGAGGTGCTGAACAGAAGCTTCTGTTTCTGTTTTTTTCTTTTCTTTCCTCCTTTCTCTTCTAAATGGAAACAAAGAGAGCTTAGCTTAGAATGCTGTCCCCTTGTTCCTTGGGCAGTTTTCATTCCTGAGAGTTAGAGTGGGAGCTAGGAGTGCGGGCCCTGGAATCAGAATAGCTCCACCCACATACCAGTCCTTGCATACTCTAGGTGTTTGTCTTTGGGCAAATCACCTACTCCATCTCCCCAGACCTCTGTTTCCTCATGTGTGACACAAGAGTAACGCCCACCTGATACGGCTAGTGGGAGAAGGAAATGAGCACGTGCCGGGCACACACAGGAGCACACCATAAACGTCAGTGTTATTCTTATCCCGAGTACCACTGACTCGGGGTGGGCTCTGAGCCCAATTTCTGCATCTATTAGCCACCCTTTACCAACTCAGCATTCCAAAATCCACCCCCCACTACTGTATCTTGAGGGGTGGGGATAGCGAGTTCCTCAGAATTGCACATCCAAGCCTCAAGGATTAATCTGAGGTGGCAGAAAGTTCCTACACGACACACCAAATGGAAGGTTAGCTGACACTAAAACGGGGGCCTAGAGGCTCAGGGAGGAGCACTGGCCCTAGGCCTGCCGCTGGACGTCGGTGGCACCCGGCTCTGCCTTTACCGGAGAGGGCGTCTGCAGCAGCTGGTGTGTCCAGTTTCATGAAGGCTGCTTCAATCGCTTGGCTGAAGGAATTTTGGAAACTGGGCACAGGAACACGGTCCGAGTTATCACTCTCTCCATCACTGTCCACAGTGGCAGGAGGGACTAAGCTGTTTTCATCTAAAAAATACCAGGGTTACAAGTCCAGAAACAACTCTAGAGACCTACACTTTCTGAAAGGGGCCCAAACCCCCCTTTCCCAGGAGGGACATCCTCACCTTTTGTCGGAGCTGTTTTGGGCCACACCTCTGCTTTTGCTTTTCCAACTCTCAGCATCTGCCAAAGTGAGAAAGGCGGAAAAAAGAAATCTAATGATTTGTTAAAAAGTGAGAACTCGGATTCTCCCTCAGCTACTCTTGGCCTCCCCACCTTCTCAGTGCGTCTACAGTGGTAACATCTGAGACTAAAGCTGTGAGCCCCCCTCTGAAAAAAGCCTTGCATGATCATCAGAATCAGTGAAACATTCGCCTGTAAGCCTCCCCTTCTCCAACAGGAATTTCCAGAAAGAACAAGCAGTAGAGGTCATGTAAATACCCTTGGGCTGTTTCACAACCAAAGGATTTACCTGGGCGAAAGAAGGGAAAGGAGAGTCTTCTTCCAGACTCCCGATGCAGAATGAAGGGCTGCCCTGACTGGCGGCAGGTGACACAGGGGTCAGCAGAAAGTCTGAAAGGGAACCAGAGACCTGATTATATGAGTCAAGTTCCAACGAAACGGGAACCCTGAATCAGGTGTGGACAATTACCAGGCTCACCTCAAAAAGCAAACCTTGATCCAAATTCAACTCTGCCATGTTCTCAAAAAGCTAAGAATGTGGCCTATTATTCACACCAGTGATCACCACATGGAAGTGTAGTGTTCACAGTAACACTGAAGCCAGAATCTAGTCCCACAGTAAGAAAAGCACTTTCCACATTGGCTGGCTCTCAGGACCTAGGTTTGGACTATTACAATCTGGTTTTAGATGGATGAGAAAGCTCCAAGTGAAAGACATAAAAAATTGAATCATGTCAGCCTTTGTGTTCCAGCCACCAGATGTCTATGGCTTGGGAATATTCAGTTAAAATCCAAAACACACACATCAACAAAATCCAGAACGAAGATGCAAGCTTTTCATACTCCCTAGGGAACAGTCCTCCCCGTCCTTTCTGACCTTACATTTCCCACAGATCAAGTCTGCCCACTGTCTTGACCACGACTGGGAGGGAGAAGCGTCCTCACTGTACCACAAGCAGGCCCCTCCATCACCAGCCAGGGCGGTTTAGTACTTCTGTTCCTAGGACCACCCAACTGCGCTCGCGTGAATACACTAAGGCCCACAGCTTCAGAAAAGCTAGTGTGTGAAACACAGTTTTTACATCACGAGTGATGTGGCTGATGTGCTCCGTGCTTCTTTGTACGGCAGCTCTCTTTTCAGTTAAACGCGCTCTTCAGAGCATCGTGGTCGTGCAGCCCTCAAGATCCAGGTTCTAGTCCCAGTCCCTGCCACTAACCAAACCCCTGCCTTAGCCCCAGGTTCCTAATCACGACAGGCATGTGATCACAAGGGTAACCGAGAGTTTTCAATTCTGATCTTGGACATTTTGTTTAAAATACCTGACAGAAATAAATTTAAGTATCACAGTATCTGTTAGATGGATGAAGAGCAGAAATGATATCTAAAATTACAGCAACTCTTTCTCAAGTGTTTAATTTCATAACACTGTAATACCTTCTCTCTATATGAGAAAACAGTATCTTTAAAAGACTAAAGGCCTCTGAACAACCTCTCAACTGTGGTCCCACTCACCAGGGTGTAGCACCATTACCAGTCTGGGACATAATCATCCCAATATTCTTCTGTACATTTATATATACAAACCCATAATGAAATGCTTTTTTTGTGCAGTTTTTCTTTAAACCCATAAATGGTATCATGTTTTGTTGTTCTACAACTTCCTTTTATCTTAAAGATCTACCCATTAGTTCATGAAGAGAGCTATTTCCTTCTTTAATAGATGTAAAGTATTTCAAAGCATAAACACTATAATTTAGTCATTTACCTACCAGAAGACTTTGTAGACCATTTCTCCCCCCGCCCCCCACCACCTATTGTAAACAACACTACAACAAAGAGGCACATACAAACATGCTTAAGCATACAGGGGGAGTATCTCAAAGGCAGAAACTAGAAATAAAACAGCAGGGTCACAGGGGGAAGTCTCTATGTAACTACCCTGCCACATGAGCTGCTTTGAGGTTTTTAGAGGCTAAGGCATCAAGTACTCAGTACAACCAATGGTCAAAGTGAATCAAATGGC